AGACATCACCTCTCTCTCTCCCTACATCGCCTACCTGCTCAACACTTGGCCCGCTCTACCCTGTCTTCTGAGTTCCTTTAGTTCTCACTCTGTGTGACCCTTTCTCCCATGAATACCCAGTTCTGATCCGCCCAAAGAACTTCCTTTGATCCCCAATGTCTCAGGGGCCACCCACCCTTCCCCGTTTCCTCATTTATGTGTGGAATCCCCGGTCACCTCCTCTGAGAGACCCACGCTGACCTCCCAGCCAAAAATATGGTTTCTCCTCACTATCCTGTTTGATTGGCATCCTAGCACAGTTTGGTGCTATTTAACATCACCTTGCTCTTTTTTTTTTTTTTTTGTCTGCCTTTCCCCAGAAACCATAAGTTATAGATTTTAAGTTCCACAGAGGTGAGGCTCTGTTCACACTATGTCTCCAGGGACCAGCACAGCACTTGAGCTATTGTGGGTTCACGGGACGAGTCTGTGAGGCGTGCACACAGGGTACCTGATTGTGCGCCCCAGCAGCCTGACTCCCCTCAGGTGGCGATGCCTTCACTTTCTGACCATGGGGAGGAGGCTATGGAATTGCCTGTAAGGCGGGCTTTGCAGTGACTTGAGAGAAAAAAGGAGGCACAGAAACTTGCAAAGAGTAACGCCTTAGCTGGCCCCCAACTGCAAACGCATCGTAAGACCTGGAGAATGGTGATGGGAGGACGCGGCCAGGCATGACAGTCGGAATTCGTGCGGCTGGGTAGGTTGCTTCTACTTTCTGAGCCTCCGTTTCTTCAGGTGGAAGAGAGTGAATGATTGCTCTGTCTCCTGCTTTATAAAGTCAGGCTGCTCAGGGCTGGAAGGTGTCTCAGGACATCATCGGAGCCAATGGTTCCCATTTTAGAGATTAGGAAACGGAAGCATAGGGAGGGGAGAAGCGAAGGGGCCAGTCTAAACTACAGCCGGGTTTTTTTTTTTGTTGTTATTGTTTTCCCAATGTGTCCAGAGTATGGAATCGCGGTTATGCTGGCGTCAGCTTGCAGGTTCGGTTCCAGATCAGGGCACGTATGTAGGTCCAGGATCCATCCCTCATTGAAGTGTGAATCAGAAGCAACTGGTAGGTAATAGATTTATCTTTCACATTCACATCCACCTCTCTCTCTCTCTCTCTCTCTCTCTTCTATAAAAATAAAAAACAAGCTTTGTGCAATGGCCATATCATAGCCAATGAGGTTTATCCAAGGCACGATAATTGCTAATTGAAAAAACAAAAATAAATTTAAAAAACCCACATATCCTTGGGTGAGGATTTTTTAAAAAGTCGACTCATCGAGAGATGTTCCTTCTTTTAGACGGATTATTCCAGATGATGGAAAGACCAGAATTGTTCATCCCTTGTGTGAGGTGGCCGAAGAGTTATGGGGCTTGGTTGGTACCTTGAAGGGACAGTATGACTCGTTGGATTTACCGCCTCTTCTGTTTCCCTCCGTGGACAAATGACCGGCTAAGGGGCCGTCCAGAGGGAAAGTGAGGATGCCCCATACGTCCATCCCATCGGCCACTAAACCAGCGATGAGCTGCCAGGAGCCCCATGAGCTAAGTCTCAAAGCCTAGAAGGGGCCCTAGCCGGTGAGGCTCAGTGGATAGAGTATCGGCCCGCAGACTGCAGGGTCCCAGGTTCAATCCCAGGTAAGGGCACAGGCCCAGGTTGCAGGCTTGATCCCCAGTGTGGGGCGTGCAGGAGGCGGCGGATCAATTATTCACTCTCATCATTCATGTTTCCATCTCTCTCAAGTCCTCTCTGAAGTCAATCCTATATAATAAAAGCCTAATATGCAAATGGACCAAATAGCAGAATAAGGGGTGGAACAATCGGGCGCTATGATGCGCACTGACCACCAGGGGGCAGACGCTCAATGCAGGAGCTGCCCCCAGCCCGCAGGCCCAGGCCAGCCCAGACAGGTGCCAGCAGGGGGTGGGGGTGGGGGGGCCAAGGAAGGAGGGGGGCCTCCTGATGGCCCTGCCAGTCGCCCCACAGATTGGCCCTGATTGCTAGCCAGGCCTAGGGACCCTACCCATGCACGCATTTCGTGCATTGGGCCTCTAGTAAAAATATTTTTTTAAAAAGAGTTCAGAAGAGGCTCCTGTATGGAAAGTGGTGAGAGGACCACCTGCCACACTGCCCCCCTCAGGCCCCAAGACAGACTGCACCAAGGGCACCAGGACTCCCAGCTGGAGTCAGTTCCGGACCAGCCAATGGGCCTCAGAGAAAAGCGAACTAGCGTGACCAGAAGTCTCCGCGCGAGGCCACCTGACCAATCGCTGTGCCGCCCTAGGGAAGCCGCGCTAGTTCTTCTGGGAGTTGTAGTCCCAAGGTCCCCAGCCTTACCTGGGTCCAACAGTGGGAGCAACTGGTGCCCGGAGAGTCCGACTTTCCAGAAAGCGGGCCAGTGAAGATGTGCACCCAGGACCTAAACCTCGGTCTTTGGGGACGTGAAGCCCAGGCTCCCGGCCAGGGCTGGGCCCCGCTGTGATGCTCACGGTGCTGACCCCCGACGACACGGTTGGAGGCTCCGCAGGGTCCGGGAAACCCGGGGTTGAGAATAACGGGTCGTCGGGACTCGTGGTTACACCAGCCTCCTCCACCAGGAGCCGCTCTCGGACACACACAGCCTTACTACTTCTCCCAGAAGGAACCGCGGCACCAGTGTCCACCTTGACAGTGGGCCGGAGTGGGCGGCTCCGGCAAATGAACCTCATGTAGGCGCGAAGCCTCTCGGGAGTTGTAGTCCTCATCCCGATAGAGCTGCGGACTACATCTCCCAGGAGGCCGTGCGACAACGCCGTGGGCTTCCCCGTGTCTCAGGTCTGCAGATCGGATTTCAAATATGCCACCTTCAAATAGACATATTCCTGGGACGAAATGAGAATAAATGTCACAATGTACTTTCTGTATATGAAAAAGACGACCCTTAAATGTTATGTCACTGTCCCAGACCCGTCCTTTTTATGCCTCCTAGGATGGAACCCAGGAAACTATCGAATATCCCAGACCATCATCCTTGATTCTTCTGTATCTTTTTTTTTTTTTTTTGCCTCACTCCTTTTTTATGTCTCTGTTCTCCATCCAAGCTGGCTGTCTGTCCGCAAAGACCATGACGTGACGGGCAGGGCAGTGAATATGTATAAGGGGGAAATAAGTACCCCTCCGGGAATCGAACTAGGGTCCTGAACACTCAGCCAGGAGGGGAAGCTGCGCACGCAACCCGCGGGTAGCCCTCTGGGAGTTGTAGTTCCAAGCGCGCCTGTGCAGGCGCACTACAGGCGAACGCCGACCGTGGCCTTCGACAGCCCTTCCATGAAACAGTGCGGAGTGGGAGGTTTGGGCAGGACCGGCTGGTTCTGCGAACCCAGCTTGGATCCAGCCTAACGCCTTAGGACGCTGCCCTGGTGCTTAGCGAACACGGACGTGACCGGAAGCGCGCGCGGGTCCCTCTGGGGGATGTAGTTCACCGCTAACGACGTGGCCTGCGGCCTTGGTCCACAGATCGCGCTCGGATTCCGATCCTCGCGTAAGCAATTTTGGAGCCGCGGGCTGGCGACTGGTGAAGCGGGGAACAACCCGGATGCGAGCGCGCAGCCCTATGGGAGCTGTAGTCCGCCCTCTGTTGGCGCAGGCGCAGTCCCCGTCGGTACCGGCCGCGGCCTCCGTCCTGACGCCCGGCGGGTAAGCGGAAACGGGGCGGCCGGGCGGAGAGGCCGCGCTGGCCGGACGCGGCATCTGCCCGGGGGCGCGGCCTCAGTCCGTACCCACCGCACGCGATCGTGTCGGGTCCGTTTGTTCCTTTGCCCCCGGGCGGGTCGCGTAGGGGCAGCCGGAGGGGGGCGGGGGGGCGGGGCCTGGTGGATGGGGGGTGTCCTCGCCGTGGCGCCAGGGGGCAGCCTCCCGGTTTTGGGGCGCAATTGGAGCGACGGCCGCCGCGCCATCAGGGACCGGGCCAGCCTGACCGGCACCCCTCGCCTGCTGTGGGGGGGCGCGGGTTCCGAGGGTGCGTCCGCGCCTTCCTAAGGGGCCTTCTGTCCCCAAAGCGGGGGGGGGGGGGGGGGCGCTAAATACACCAGATTTCATTTTATTTATTTTAAACATTTTATTGATTTTTTACAGAGAGGAAGAGAGAGGGTTACAAACATCCATCAGCTGCCTCCTGCACGCCCCCTGCTGGGGATGTGCCCGCAACCAAGGCGCATGCCCTTGACCGGAATCGAACCCGGGACCCTTCAGTCCGCAGGCCGATGCTCTATCCATTGAGCCACACCGGCCAGGGCTGAAACACCAGATTTTAATCCCGGACACTGGGACCCAGGAAAGAGAGGAACTGACTATGCCAGGCACCATCCAGGCTCCTTTACTCATTAATCAGCCAGTTAGTTTTCTTTAATGTTTAAAATATATATATTTTTTATATATATAAGATTTTAAATATATTCTTATTGATTTCAGAGAGGAAGGGAGAGAGAGATAAAAATATCAATGATGGCCCTGACCGGTGTGGCTCAGTGGACCGAGCGTCGGCCTGCGGACTGAAGGGTCCCGGGTTCGATTCCAGTCAAGGGCATGGACCTTGGTTGCGGGCACATCCCCAGTGGGTGGCGTGCAGGAGGCAGCTGATCGATGTTTCTCTCTCATCGATGTTTCTGACTCTCTGTCCCTCTCCCTTCCTCTCTGTAAAAAATCAATAAAATATATTTTAAAAAATATATCAATGATGAAAATAAACAAAAAATTAAAAATTGATTTAAAAAAAAGAAGGAAAAAAAAATCAATGATGAGAATAACTGATGGCTGCCTCCCGCACGCCCCCCACGGGGATGGAGCCCGTAACCAGGCATGTGCCCTGACCCAGACGAACCGTGACCTCCTGGTTCCTAGGTCACTGCTTAACCGCTGAGCCACACTGGTACGGCTTTAATATATATTTTTATAGATTTCAGAGAGGAAGGGAGAGAGAGAGAGAAAAAAACATCGACGGTGAGAATAACTCATGGCTGCCTCCCGCACGCCCCACACTGGGGACGGAGCCCGAGACCCGGGCTCAGTTGCCCAGGTCGATGCTCAGCCACTGAGTCATGCCAGCCGGGCGTTCAACCACGTACCTAGACGTCCCAGATGCCAAGCCCCAACCTATGCCCGAGAGCCTCTGTGTAGACCCAACGTGGTCTCTGGCCCCGGCAGGGCGGGGAGTGGGGGTTGTCAGGGAGATGATTTTCAAAAGCCGTGCACACTTCACAGCCAACCAGCTCCCATCCTGAACCCTCAGTGAGGACGACACAGAACAAACACGACGAGGCGGAATCCGGACGCACAGTCAGGGCCGCCCAGGGCAGGTACGAACACGAGGGAAACGCATGCGACCTCGGGCCTGACTTCATTCTGGGCAGTCGGACGGGGTCCAGCTTGTCAGGCACCGGGAACACGGAGCAGGAGGCGTATCTTCGACGGTCACAGTCACTGTCATGTATAGACTGCTCTCCTGCTCCGGGTTCAGACGTTGTCGCACTGTGATTCTGGTGACCTCCATGTCCCGTCCTCACCCTCACTGTCGGGGAGAGGGAAACTGAGGCACACCAAGCCGTGCCCAGGGAACCCAGAAAGGTCTGGCTTCCTGTCCTGGTAACAGAAACAGTCGCCCCCCTGAAGGTCATCTGTGTAACCAGGGCCGAGTCCCTTGCCCAGGCTGGCCCTCAGTTTTCCCGTCTTTGGAATGGGCGTGCGTAAATTTGCCATCGTCCATCAGCCGTGCCCGGAACAGCTCTGGCTCACCGCAGGGGCCCAGGAAATGCCACGCTGAGGTTCGCAGCTGTTGGGCTTGGCCTGGGTCCTGGGCTCCAGGCTCTCTGACACCATAGCTCCTTCCACCTCAAGGCAGGGGTTCAGGTCCTTGGTTCCTGGTCACCACGGGCACCTGCTCGGTGCCTCACATCCTCTCCCCCCAGAACGGCCTGCAGAGCAGCCAGCCGTTCCCGCCAGAGGCCAGAGGAGGAAGGAATGGACGCTGGGCTCCTGGACGCGGGGTTCCCGGTGAGTGCACCACGGCCCTCACGCTCGGGCCTCCGACGTGAGGGAACCCCCTCCCCTGACAGTCCGGCGTGGCCTTGTCCCGCTTCCCCGGTGAGGAAACTCCTGTGTGACGTTCCAGGAGCAGGTGTCCTTTGAGGACGTGGCCGTGGACTTCACCCGGGAGGAGTGGGGGCAGCTGACGCCCGCCCAGAGGACCCTGCACCGTGAGGTGATGCTGGAGACCTGGGGGCTCCTGGTCTCTGTGGGTAAGGCCACCCCGTTCCTCACCGTCCTCCCCTGGGTGGACCCCACTTCGCCTGGGTTCACAGGGGGGGTGGGTCTTGGCATGAAGAGCAGAAAACTCCTGTGCCTTAGGCCTGAGGGACCAGACAGCCTGGGTTTAGAGGGTGTCCGTGAGGATGTTCTGCCTACAAGTGACAGATCCCACCTGAGAATGCCAGGGGCAGGAATCATGGGGTCAGAGGGGCCACACTGGGTCCGGAGCTGCAGAACCCCAGGTGCGGTCTTCCCATGTTGCCCCCTCTCCCTCTGCACCTCTCTCAGTCACGATTCACACAGGGGCCTTCTGGCGGTGAAAAGACAGTTGCCAGCGTCCAGGGGTCCAGGGGAGGCCTGTGGGCTGTCTTGTTTCAGCCACCAGGCCCCCTCCCTATTGGTCGTTGTTGCCAGTGGACAGCGGAAGAAGAACTCTCACTGGGGGCCCAGATCTGGGTCACGTGTCCACCCCAGAGCCAGAGGTGGGGTTGGGGCTGAGAGTGAGTGGAGGCAACTAGAGGCTGTTCTCACCTAAGTCACTGGGGCCTGTCTGGGTTCCCAGCCACTTGAGTCCTGAAAGGGTGACGGCAGAGTGGGCAGGGGGGTGGGAAAGGCCCTGGGACACGAATGCTCTCGTCCTGGGTCTCCCCCTGAGCTGGACGGTGGCTCCCGAGACCCACCCTCATCTCGCTGCGGGAGCAGGAGGCCGGGCGGGGGCTGGGGGCCGGGAGGTTCCGCCAGGTGTGTGCCCAGGTGAGGTGAGGATGGCAGGGCAGGGAGGAGCCCCCGCTCCCCGCACCCCACATCTCTCTCTTCGTATCTGCTCCCAGGTCCTTCAGAGCACACTGACTCCTCATTCTCGCAGTGAACATTCACCAGGCACCGTTCTGCTACGAGGAGACCTGGCTCCTGTCTTCACCGAACACACAAATTGCTGAGGGAGAGGGGCACACCGTAAATAGCTAGAACACAATAACAACAGCGAAAGGGGTGATCACAGACGTGACAGCAGGTGATGGGGTGGACAGAATCGGGGCGAGGACTTGAGCAGAGAGATGAGGGCTTCCCTCTCGAAGGAGGTGATGAGGGAGGTGAAGCTGGGCCATGGGCACAGAATCCAGGCGGAGGGAACGGCAGGTGCAGAGGCACTGGGTGGTGCAGGTCTCCTACTGCGGATCAGACACTCCCGCCTCGGGCTTTAAACCAGAGACCCGTTTACGACTCGGGCACCTGTGGCTCTAGGCCAGGCTCGTCCGGATGCCGAGGTTGGCTGGGTGGTTCTTCTCTTCGGACCTGCTGTCCAGCTCCCGAGACAGGCAGCCACCTCTGTAGGAAGTGGGGTTGTCCTGGCCCATCGACAACCAACTTCCCATTGGCATCCGGCCGTGACGCCGTGTAAACAGTGACCATCACCAGCGCCCAGGAAGGATGGACGTGTGCGAGGGGGTCACAGCAGGGTCTCCCCTGCCTCAAATAATGACCAGCCTTCACCTCGTATGTTAGCCGCCTCTTGCTGCTGTAACAGATGACCACAAATGTAGGATGTGAAGCAACACACATGACCTTGCAGTTCTAGAGGTCACGAGTCCAGAGGGGTCTTGCCGGGCGACGTGCGAGGGGCCAGCAGCCAGCGTCCCTTCCCGAGGGCCGGGAGGCTCCATGGCCTTTCGTGTCCAGCATCTAGAGGGGCCCATTCCTGGGCGCGTGGCCTTGTCCATCTCAGTGTCAGGTCAGCAGAGGCGGGTCAGGTCTTCACGCATCACGTCCCCCTGCCCCGACCTCCTGCCTCCCTTGCACATGTAAGAACCTGTGGTTACTCGGGGCCACCCCAACAGTCCAGGGCGATGTCAGGTGACGGGCTAATGTCAAAGATTAGCACCCTTCATTCCTTGTCCACATACAGGTGACAGCACACTCACAGGCTGCAGGGCTGAGGCTGGGTCCCTGCCACCCTGCCAGGAAGGAGGGGGAGACACTGCCTCTATTTTCCATTCAGCATGTGTGTGGCCCCCTGTTGTTGTTGGGGGTACAGTGGTAAGATCCTGCCCGAGGGGTCTTCTCGCTTAGGGAAACAGACAGACTGAACCAGCTCAACGGGCTGTAACGCACCACAGCCATTTGTCAATCCTCTCGTAGACGGACATGTCAGCAGTTCCCACGGTGGGGATCTGACGGGTTTCTTCACGTCTGGAGTGAGTGGCACAGCAGGGAGGGACCTCCAGGAGCAGACGGGCTCTGAGAAACGGGGGGGCTGAGGGTTGGAGAACCTCTTTTCTGTCAAGGGCCATTTGGATATTTATAACATCATTCGCAGGGCATGTAAAATCACCAACTTAAAATTTAGCTGCTCTATTTGGCCAAACAGTTAATTAAGTCCCTCCTAGTGCCGTGGCAGGGCCAGACCAAGCGATTCAGCGGGCCTTTCACAGCCTAAAGGCCGCACCTTGCCCACCCTTGCTCTCCCACCGTCTGCTGCAGTGCAGGCTGTGTGAGCCTGTACCTGACTTATTCCGCTCCTTCCAAGCCTGGGTGTCTGCGGCATTTTCCCTGAAGGCTCACTCTTTTTTTTCAGCACCGACTTCCTCCAAAACTCTCTGTGCAACTCCATCTCTACCCATTATACTAACTCAGCTTCCTGTTCTCTGAACACTCTCTTCCTTCTCGGCTTTGCAAAACCATACGGTTCAATGGTCAAAGCCACTCGTGCCTTGAGCTTTTAGAAAATGTCGGTTTAATTCTCCCATTCACATGTTCACCAATAAACTTTTCCTCCCAGAACAGCGATTGCGGGACGATTCCTTTTTATTTTTATTTTTTTTTCAGACTTGGAAACGAAATTGAAAACGGAACTGTCAGCTGCAAAGCAAGACGCCTCTGAGGAACTGTCCAGCCTTGTCCTGGTAGAAGGGTTCCTGTGGGACGGTCTGGGGAGCTCTAAGGGTGAAGACGCCGAGGGGTCCCGGGAACAGAGCTGTGAGAGCCTGGATGGCCGTGGGGTGCAGGCGGCCTGCACACCTGTGAAGACCTCTGTTCAGCGGCAGCAGCCTGGGAATGGGTTTGGGGAAAACTTCACTCTGAGCCCTGATCTCCCAAGTCAACCCGTGACTCCTGAAAAACAAGACTCCCATGCATGGAGAATGCACAGAAAAAAAGAGAATCCATGCTCACAAACAAACGCACAACAGAAAACCTACGCAACAGAGAAAGCCTACAGGTGTCTGGAATGTGGAAAGGCGTTTGCTCGCAGCTCCGCCCTCACTGAACACCGCCGGACGCACACAGGAGAGAGGCCGTATGAGTGTCAGGAATGCGGGAAAGGCTTCCGAAACGGCTCGGCACTCACCAAACACCAGAGGATCCACACTGGCGAGAAACCCTACAGGTGCACGCATTGTGGGAGGACCTTTAACCAAACGCCCCCACTGATCCAGCACCAGAGAACTCACACGGGCGAGAAGCCCTACGAGTGCAGCGAATGCGGCAAGTCCTTCAGCTTTCGGTCCTCCTTCAGCCAACACGCACGGACCCACACGGGCGAGAAGCCTTACGAGTGCAGCGAGTGTGGGAAGGCCTTCCGGCAGAGCATCCACCTCACCCAGCACCTGCGGACCCACACCGGGGAGAAGCCCTACGCGTGTCCCGAGTGCGGGAAGGCCTTCAGTCACAGCTCGTCCTTGACGAAGCACCAGAGAATCCACACCGGAGAGAGGCCCTACGCGTGCCACGAGTGCGGGAAAGCCTTCACCCAGATGACACCACTGATCCAGCATCAGAGGACGCACACGGGGGAGAGGCCCTATGAGTGCCACGAGTGCGGGAAAGCCTTCAGCCAGAGCACACTCCTGACCGAGCACCAGAGGATCCACACCGGGGAGAAGCCCTACGGGTGCCACGAGTGTGGGAAAGCCTTCAGCCACAGCTCGTCACTCAGCCAGCACGAGCGGACACACACGGGGGAGAAGCCCTACGAGTGCAGTCAGTGTGGCAAGGCCTTCCGGCAGAGCACACACCTCAGTCAGCACCAGCGGATCCACACGGGGGAGAAGCCCTACAAGTGCAGCGACTGTGGCAGGGCCTTCGCCCACAGCTCATCTCTAACCCAGCACCAGCGGGTCCACGCGGGGGAGAAGCCCTACGAGTGTGATGCGTGTGGCAGAGCCTTTAGCCAGCTCGCTCCACTCGTTCAGCACCAGCGGGTCCACGCGGGGGAGAAGCCCTACGAGTGTGATGCGTGTGGCAGAGCCTTCAGTCAGAGCTCCCTCCTCGTTCAGCACCAGCGGGTCCACGCGGGGGAGAAGCCCTACGAGTGTGATGCCTGTGGCAGGGCCTTCAGTCAGAGCTCCCTCCTCGTTCAGCACCAGCGGGTCCACACGGGGGAGAAGCCCTACGCGTGTGATGCGTGTGGCAGGGCCTTCAGTCAGAGCTCCCTCCTCGTAGAACACCAGAGGACCCACACCACAGAAAAACCCTACACGTGCAACGAATGTGGGAAGTCCTTCAGTCACAGCTCCTCCCTCAGCCAGCACGAGAGGACACACACCGGGGAAAAGCCATACGAATGCCCAGATGGTGGGAAATCCTTCAGGCAGAGCACTCACCTCACCCAGCACCGGAGGAACCACACAGGAGAAAAGCCGTACGAGTGCAGGGGCTGTGGGAAGGCCTTCACACACGGCTCCTCCCTGGCCAAGCACCAGAGAACTCATCCTGGGTAGAGGCACCTGCAGGAGCTGGGCCACAGGAAGCCTGCAGCCATAGTTCGTCTCTTCCCTTCCTGCGCTTGCCCCAGTCATACTCCTGGGTGATATCACAGACTTATGCATACGCCTTCACAACTGTTAGTAGTACACATGCGCCTCAGATCACTCTGACAGTGGGGAAATGTAGGGATGGTCAGTGTTGAAGACCTTCGGATGTGAGTGCCGTCAATGCTGTATTATAGAAGCCACAGAAATGAGGATTAGGAAAAGGTATTGGATTTGGGCATGACTTAACAAGAATTCACCAGATTCCAAACTTGAGAATTTCAAAATGGTGAGACCCCAGCTAATGCTGCTCATAAAAAAGAACCAAGTGCAGTGACATTTTATCTTTCATGCACATTATATGCTCGAGGGGGGAGACGTGCCCATGAATGGTGTAGCTGACACTGATACTCCCTGTAAACACCATGGCAGTGCCCCGCATGTGAGAGTGGCATCCATGTGCAATCCCCATGCACTCAACTGTCCCAGTAAGACCTTCTGATCTGTGTGTAAAGCATTTGATCAAGGCACATGGTAAACAGCCCCACAGATTTGAATCCCATATGACAAAGTACCAAGTGTACTGTAAACATTTTTTTTAAAATTTTTTTAAATTTTGTTTTTGTGTGTGTGTGTGTACTGTAAACATTTTAAACGAGTTTTCTGCATTAGTTTGCAATAAATCTTTGTCGTGGAATTGAAAACTTTTGAATAGGACAATGATGGCAAACCTATGACACGCGTGTCAGAGGTGACACGCGAGCTCATTTTTTTGGTTGATTTTTCTTTGTTAAGTAGCATTTAAATATATAAGATAAATATCAAAAATATAAATCTTTGTTTTACTATGGTTGCAAACATCAAAAAATTTCTATATGTGATACGCTCCAGAGTTAAGTTAGGGTTTTCCAAAATGCTGACACGCTGAGCTCAAAAGGTTCGCCATCCCTGGAATAGGAAGTCTTGAAATGCAAGTTCCATGGAGCCTTGCAGGTTCTGTGATGGCTTTTGCTACTCTGTTCAGGCTATAATTATTATTATTATTATTTTTTTACAGGACTCATAGGAATTAAAAAGACAGATGAGCCCCGCCGGCTTGGCTCAGTGGTTGAGCATCGACCTATGAACTAAGAGGTCATGGTTTGATTCCTGGTCACGGCACATGCATGGGTTGCAGGCTTGATCCCTAGTGTGGGGCGTGCAGGAGACAGCCTATCAGTTATTTTCTTTCATAATTAGTGTTTCTATCTCTCCCTTTCTGAAATCAATAAAAATAAACATTTTTTAATTTTCCTTTTTTAATTTTTAAAATAGATTTTTATTAATTTCAGAGAAGGGAGAGGGAGAGAGAGATAGAAACATCAGTGATGAGAGAGAATCATCGATTGGCTGCCTCCTGCACGCCCCCCAATGGGGATGGAGCCCACAACCCAGGGATGTGCACCTGACTGGAATCAAACCCAGGATCCCCTCAGTCCGCAGGCCAACACTCTATCCACTGAGCCAAACCAGCTCGGGCTAAAAACATATTTTAAAAAGATAAAAGAAAAAGACAGATGGTGCCATTGCACAAAAAGAGCAAGGTTTTTCCTAATTCCCCTCTCATAAACAATAGGAATTCCATGTTGTAACCTTTTATTTTGCAAGATCTAGTCCTTTGATAAATGTAAAAGATAGCCCTTTCTTGCAGCATGTTTTCATTGATTCTTCACTGTTTCTATTATAATTTCACTTGAAAATCCATTGTATTTCATTGAACCTTAAATCCTCTAAAAGCATCTGGCTGACAACCACGCCCCTTAAAGGGCGACTTGCCACCCTTGTCGGTTGCCACACGGCGACAGTAACTAATAGCACTGGGAGAGAATCTCTTTTCATACAAATGTGATGGGGTCAGTCGCGCCTCCGACCCCGCAATGAGTGGTTCCTACCACTTCAGATAAAGAGAAACCCCTGACTGACACCTTCCAACAAGGTGCTCCAGCCTGGGCATCGGCCCCACTGGGTTCTCAGTCTGCCCCAGACGCCTGTGTGCCAGCCGCCCAGACCGTGTTGGTTGTTCGGAACCAGCGTCTCACAGTGGGACCCAGGGCTTGTCACCAGAATCACCCCGGTGCTGCTCACCAATGCCGACTCTTGGGCCTTGCATCCCCACAGATGAGTCCAAATCTTTGGGGTGGGGTGAGGAGGCTGGCGGTTATATCCCCCCCGTGGTGAAGGTCCTGCTGCCCTTCTCAGGGCCTGGTGGAAGGCCCTTTCTGCCTCCTGACGGGGCTGCCCCCTCCACCGGCCACTAGGTTATGTCCACATCCTCTCCCATCTCTGACCCATGAAGCTTTCCTCAAGGCGCCCTTTCCGGAGACTTGAGGTGCACACAACAGTCCTTATTCGTCTGCTTCTGGGTTTAGACCAGCCGTGGGCGAACTACGGCCCGCGGGCCGGATCCGGCCGTTTGAAATGAATAAAACTAAAAAAGAAAAAAAGACTGTACCCTTTTATGTAATGATGTTTACTTTGAATTTATATTAGTTCACACAAACACTCCATCCAGGCCTTTGTTCTGGCCCTCCGGTCCAGTTGAAGAACCCATTGTGGCCCTCGAGTCAAAAAGTTTGCCCACCCCTGGAAGCCACGGTTCATCCCTTCCTAGACTTGAGCCCGGTTATGCTGATGAGCACGGGGGCACACACAGGCCTTCACACACAGCACCCCTCGGGTCGTCCGAGCAGCGGGGAGAGGTGGCGGTGACCCACGTGGAGGACCCTCAGCCGCGAGTGCCCACCAACATCGCAGGAGAGAGACGCGGGAGAATGCCCTGAGTTCGGACGTGACTTAGGTCCACAGGTTCACAAGGTTCCCACTGGTGGAAACCCAACAGGTGCCTTTCATAGGTAAGAACCAAGGGCAGTGAGACTTGATCATTGATTCACATTCTATTCTCTGGGTTGGGGCGTGCGTATGAGTGGTGTCAACTGACGGATATAAACACACGCAAGTGTATATACTCAGCTGTCTCACCACAAAGTTTTCCGGTCTGAGTATAAATCACTTACCTGGTCCAAGAACACAGCTAATGTTTGAGTTTCCCCTGAAATATCCGTCCCCAGTGGGAATGACCAGGCTCTGAATGCGAGTGATGATGTTACCCATTCTCCTTGCCTTCCCTGATTGCATCTGTGCACGTGTCTTGCCCCTTCAGAACAAAGCTAGGGTGCTTGGCCCCACCTTTACAAGACAAAATGATACCAATATTTTAAAAATAAAATCAGATGTTCTCTCTTAAAAAAAAGATACATGGCAACCAGTCTCACAGATTTGAATCCCATGTGAGGTATCAGTGCATTTTAAACAGAATTAAATTATCTGCATTATTTTTGCAATAAATTAATCCTTTTCAGTAGGTTTGGAGTGATTCGAGAAAGCAATTCTGAAACTATATTTTTAAAATATATTTTATTGATTTCTTACAGAGAGGAAGGGAGAGTGATAAAAAGCTAGAAAATCGATGAGAGAGAAACATCGATCAGCTGCCTCCTGCACACCCCCCACTGGGGATGTGCCCGCAACCAAGGTCCATGCCCTTGACTGGAATCGAACCCGGGACCCTTCAGTCCGCAGGCCAACGCTCTATCCACTGAGCCACACCGGTCAGGGCCTGAACCTATTGTAGAGGTACTTTAGCATCCAGCATTCTTTTAATTGTGTGGGTACCAGAGTTCTCATTATAGGGACATAAAAATATGGGGGAGTGAAAATGTAGTTGTAAACTATGCAGTTATAAAATCGTATAGATTGGAATTGTGTTTGTCCACCCACATACAGACCTTCATTTGTGTACGGATATGCGCTCATGTATGTGCCTGTATTTCTAACGCGGCAGAAGACAAGGCTAGTAGCAAGGACCACACCTGGCACTCAGATTGGGGCCCTCAGGCAGCCCCCTACTACAGGGGATGAGTTGTTTGAAACTGGAGAAATGGCTGGTTTCAGAGCTGAAGCAAGCAGAAAGATAAGCTTGGAACATCCTATACTTAAAAAGAAATTGACCGTTCCCAAAGTGGCGGAGGTATAGCACAGGGTGCGGGATTCCTGTAAGACTCGTGAGCACATCTGGCACAACTTGGGCACCGAAACCAGTAAGGACGGCAGTGGGTTACACACCACTGAGAAAACAGGAGCCCATGAGTGCGTCTGATGACAGACAAATGGGCAGAAAGGCGTGCCCAGGGCTGAGCGGGAACACGGAGGGCGGGCTGGCACTGGGTAAGCGACACCCTGCAGCCCTCAGTGCTAAGGACTGGCTCGGGCAGGAACGAGTGGAGGCTGGCCCAGGGGCGGGCTTTGGTGAGAAACTGGGTGTCTGCGTTATCTCCAAGGTCTCCCCATGGATCAGTTGTTAGTTCAGGGGGGAAGTAGTAACTACGTGGGGGAGAAACTGGGCAACACTGGGTAACAAGAGAGTCACCGACAGGACCACTGTGGGCTTTGCACACCCCCAGGGGTGTGTGTGTGCATGTGCGTGTGTGTGTGTGTGTGTGTGAACATGGGAACAGGTGGGTCCGGGTGAGGACACCTGTGTGAGCTTTGTACTGCTTTCACTATTTCTGTGCCTTTTCTATAAAGTTTAAGTAATTTCCAAATAAAGCAAACAAGGCACAGGATCCGGCTGTGCACTGACTGGGACACGGGGTGGGGAGCTGAGGGCACGGCGTGTGGACGTCCTGGTGACAAAGGAGTCACCGTGGGCCTGGGAGCTGAGGGGGACGCATGCTGGGAGGGTCTCCTCGAGGCAGAACGGGACTCACGGGTCCGGCTGGGAGCAAGAGCTGAAATAGTAAATTTAGTGGTGGTTGTTTTTTTAAATTACCGGGGCCACACCCAGCTTGGGGTTGGGGGATGGGCAGGCTAAGAGGTGGGGGGGTGGGCAGGTGGGAAGTGGTGGCAATTCAGAGGCAAGCCAAGTTGAAAAGGACCTAAAATTAAAACTATGAGGGGCTCCGGGGTCTGTGGGGCCCTCCTACTGTCCGCCGGAGAGGGGAGCCCCGCGAAGGCCGAGCGGGGAGGACAGGAAAGCCGGTGCCTTCAGGCCACGGAGCCTTTCCAAATCCGGGAGCTGCAGGTCTCAGGCGGGGGCCGCAGGCTCCAAGGCCCAGGGAGGGCAGAGGCCCAGGTGGGCACCTGGCAAACTCATGTAAGGCCACGTCAGATACGCTCACAACGCCCTCAAGCCCAGACAGACAGCACACTGGGTGCCCCATCCAAAGCCCCGTGAGGGAGTCAGTCGCCCAGGCCAACCTTTGGTAACAGAACCCAGGGTCCAGGTTCGAGGGTGGGGGGACTGGCTCCTGCGGACTGGGGAGCTGCCCCATCAGCGGAGGGATGCTCACCTCTGGGCCCCTCACACGTGGGGGAACTCCTCTCTCTCAGGGGAGCGGCTGCCTGGGATCTAGGCCACCGGAGGTCCATTTCACGCCTACCTCCCAGCGCCGGCCCCTTGTCCTTTCCTCTGAGGCCAGGGGGGGAGCCTGTGTCTGCCGCGGGCCATCCGGGTATTTATCGCATCATTCGGCGGCCAGACAGAACGACCCGCTTACACATCAGCCTGCCGAATTTGGTCCGACGTTTAATTACCTCGCCCCTCACGCCTCGGCAGGGCCGGACCAAATGGTTCTGCGGGCCTTCCTCGGCCCGCGGGCCGGACGTTCCCCACCCCTGCTGGGCGGCGTGCTCCCCTCACCTGGCTCCTCCTCCCGGTCCTTGGGGGGGCCCTCCGCCAGGAAGGCCGCCTTCTCGCGGCTCTCGGGAAGACACGCCAGCAGCCAGGGCCGAGCGGACCTTGCCGGGCAGGGGGACTTTCAGGAACGCATCCAGCGGCAGCACCTGCTCCTTGGAGCACGCCTCGGGCTGCAGCCGCCGGTGGCACAGCTGGTGGAGCTGGGCGAGTGCCTCGGGGGTGAAGTTCCGGAGCAGGTGGGAGACGTCCAGGTCGGCGGGAGTCCTCCTGCAGGTGGTCCCGCGCTCCTCCGGCGGGTCCCCCGCAGCCATCCTGGCTCGGGCAGCGCGGGGGGAGTCGGGGAGGTCCTGGGGGGGCCGGCGCCTTCTCCGGAGGCAGCATCTTCCCATATCTACGCTGGGAGACGT